TTGTTAAATTGTTCACATCATCAACTACTGGCAAAGATTGGTACAGTCTAGAAGGTATTCCATGCTCCATTTCTGAAGGCATGAACTCAAATCTTACCAGACCTGTGACTGTGGAAGAGCTCAAACAGGCCCTTTGGAAAATGCACTCTCTCAAGGCACTAGGTATTGATGGCATGACTCCTTCATTTTTTCAATCTTCTTGGAACACCATTAACCCCTCTCTCTTTCAAGCTGTGAAACTCTTTTTCTCAAATGGTAAAATGCCTAAGCATACCAACAGAACTGCCATTACCCTAATTCCAAAAAAGCCTAATTCCAAAACCTTAAATGATTCCCGCCCCATTAGCGTTTGCTCAGTAACCTACAAACTCATCTAAAAAATGCTTGCTGATAGACTTAAACCTATTCTTCACTCCTGCATCAGCCTTAATCAGGCAGCATTTGTTCCTGGTTGCCAGCTTCTTAATAATTTTGTTTTAGCTAACGAATGTATACACTTTATTAAAAGCAAAAGAACCGGTAAAAACTCCTTTATGGACATTAAGCTCGACATGATGAAAGCTTTTGACAGTGTCGAATGGCCATTCTTAGAAGCTATTTGCATTAAAATGGGATTCTGCAAAAAATTCATATCATGGATTATGTCCTGCATCACTACTTTCTCATTTTCCATTAATATAGATGGACAGCCTTTGGGCCATCTGAAACCTTCCAGAGGACTACGTCAGGGAGACTCTCTCTCCCCTTACCTCTTCATCATCATATCTGAAGCCTTCTTAAACCTTATCAAGCAAGTTGTTCTGCACCACCCTTTCGAAGGTGTTAAAATTAGTAAAAACTCCCCGACCATTACCCACCTATTTTTTGCAGATGACTCTATTATATTTTGTAAATCCAACTCCTCTCATGCCATTTTGCTTTCCAATATCCTCAGGCCATAGGGCTTGGATTCTGGGCTGAAATTTAACCTAGCTAAATCCTCAGTCGATTTTTCTAAGAACACCCCCAACTCTGTGATGGCTGAGAACACCTCATTTCCTTAAACAGCTTTAGAGAATTTTAAGCCAACCGGACTTGCTGATGAGTAAAGTTCTAAAGGGCAAGTACTTCAACAACTGCTCTTTGTGGGAGGCTTAACACAAAGCCTCTGATTCTTGGATGTGGAGCACTTGGTTAAAAACAAGGCCCCATCTCAGAAAAGGAGCTCGGATTACAATAGGGAATGGCAAGTCAACCTCAATCTGGAGCGACCCTTGGCTTACAAGTCTCACTAAGCTTTCACCTGCTGTTTCCTTTGCATCTGAAAATGAAAGACTCCACAAAGTCAGTGATCTGCTCTCCCCAGATGGTAGGTCTTGGAACTCGGAACTGGTTGCTCAAATCTTCAAACCTGAAGAAGCTCCCAACTCATAATGGCTATCCCTTTGTCCAGACAAGGCCAGAAAGACTCTATCAGATGAAACCCCCACAAGCATGGACTTTTCACAGTTAAGTCTGCTTACACCCTTATTCTTGTGAATAAATTATCAAGTCTCAATCTTCCTGAAACAAGTAGAAGCAGGGCTATGCAATCCAAAATCTAGAAAACAACTTGGGGGCTGGAAATTAAAAATAAAATAAAAATGTTTCTATGGAAGTGTTGGTTTCAATATTTAGGTACCAAAGACCAACTTCTTAAGAGAGGGATGCAGGTAGATTCTATTTGTGGTGTCTGTGGGAACACTAAGGAAACACTGGAACATATATTATTCACTTGTCAAAGGGCGGTTACAATTTGGAAGCTTGCAGGTATAGAATGGGAAGGAGTTCATTGCTCCACCTTGTCCTTCAAATTCTGGTGGAGTAGTATCTGTACAATGAAGAGGGTCCTAAGCTTCCAGGATAGAATTCACTATTCGTCCTATATTCTATGGAGATTGTGGAAAGCTCGAAACCAGTGGATTTTTTACAAAATATGGAAATCAGAGGCCGAAATTGCTCTCATTGCTTGGAGGGATTGGATGGAATTTGAAATTGTGAATTGTAAGGAGATTTAGCATACTTCTCAGTTCATTTTGGCTTTTTGAATTTGCTTGAGTAACAATTGTTGCAGCCACCTTGCTAGGGACTATGGCTAAGTCCAGTGGTAAGGTAGTTACCCGGATCATGTGTTTCAGTTCTCTCAAGCCCTTATTTTTCTTAGCTTGCTTTAGTGCTGTCATCTTGTGTATTGGTACCTTTGTTTAGTTTGTATAGGCCAGGTTGTTTTATTAGTTGTTCTGTTATTTCTGTTGTTGCCTCTGGGTTCTTCCCCATTGTAACTTAGCTAAATATTGTTAGCTAAGGCATGCACTCTTGGTGCTCCCCGCTGTAATCTTTTTCCGAGTGATTAATATTATTTTCGTTTAAAAAAAAAATAGCTAGCCATGTTGACGTGTTTCTTTTTCCACAACGATTGAAGTTATATTTATAAGTTGAAATTTATATTAGGGAACTTTATATTTATAAAGTAGTAGTAGAATAGTCCCTCTTATTTATAATTTTCGAATGTGTTGAATTTAAGTGGTAGACTTGCATGCTTCAGAATCCTATGAGACACAATTTCATATTTTATTGTTTGGCTAGTGGCAGACTCGCATGTTTCAGGATAGTATGTGGAAAAGTTCCATGTTTTATTATTTGACTTGGATAGATTTTGATTTAATTTCAATAAAAGAAATAATTAGGTTCTGATTATCCATAAATATGTTGATTATTTATGGTCATTTTAGATGTATTAATTGCATTTAATATCAATTTCTATTATAACAATTGAATAATAAATTTATTTTAAAGGTAATAACTTTTGTATTTCTTATCGATTTTACATATATAATATATCAATTTATTCACCTCTTGATGAGCTCCGATTCGAAATTCATATTGTATGTATAAAATAAATAAATCATGTTTATCTTTATAATAATACAAAAAAGATTATTTATTATTATTAATTAGAAAAATAAAATTATTTATCAACCAATATACCTATGTTTAAAGTAGTTATATGGTATATGTTAGAAAAACTATTAAAATATAACACATGTAAGTCGCATAATTAACAAGTGTCATTCTAAAATATAAAATAATATATATTTTTTATAAAAAAAATTAAATTTTAAAAAAATTCTTCTCATTAATTTTAAAATTTCATTAAAAATAACCTTTTTAATAAGCACCCATGTAACACACGGGTATTGTACAAGTAAGATTTGTGTAATAATAGTACATGTCCATCTTGTTGTAGCAAATTATTTTTATTTTATCGATAACCCGAATCGAATGATTTGTTTTCCGGGTCGATCTATCGAGGAAGGCGGTTCGGAATTTAGTATTGATATGGATAACACATAAAAGCAAAATAAATCCTACACATTCTAATCTCGATAGGGTTGGAAATTATCAACTAAGAAATAACATAAGACGATAATCTACCTAAGAATATAAACGATGAAAAGATAGACGAGCTAGGGTATCGGGAATAATCGCTTCCGGTTCTACGCACATTTAACGGCAATTAATAACTCGGTTAAGTAGTTTGACTAACTAACTCATTTAGCGGTGTAACCTCACTAACTCTCGTAATATGAGGATAAACATAAAAGAGCAAATTAACGAAACAATTAACACATAGACAATACGTCTCCGAACATGTTTACTCTAAACGAGCCAAATTCCACCAATTTCTCCCCACTCAGTTTTGAAATCAATTATCTCTGCGACTCCTCCCCTTTCGGTTCTAAAAGTCGCAATTCATAGAATTAACAAACTCTAACTCAACAAATCAATATTCAATCACAAATCGAAGTGTCAATCTTCGATTATATCAACAAATTAACCTAAGTGTCACTCTTAGGTTATAAAAATTTATCAAGTATGATTTTATCAATTCATAATTAAAACAAATCGTCAAGATTGAGCTATCGTCATGCACATAAACGAGAACAAACCGGAATAATTATCCCTTAATCCTAGCTAATGGATTAGTTGCTCATAACAATTTCAACATAAACATTCACATGAAAATAAGTCATTCTCAACATAAACAAAATGAAAGAAATAACTTACTATTAATGTGAAATCCACAAGCCAAGAGCAAATACAAACTTAATCCACAATACAACAATGTCTTCAATAAGTTCTCCAAGAAAAACAAAATAAAAACTTAAGAAAAACTTAGGAAAGAAAATGAAGGAAAGATGGTGAAGAAGTAGAGATGGAAAAGAGGGGGGAGAACCCCTCCTTGGTTCAAGGATGGTGATGATTCATGATAGAAGATGATGGATGATGTTCTCATAGTCTTCAACCCCATTTTTCAGGTGTGAGTGCCACAAAACATGCCTCAAAACCGACCATGTCCTCAACTAGTGAGTAAAATGAGGAAAAGCCACAAAATCTGCACATTACAGGTCCCGCTGCCCGCGGTGAAGCAAGTCGCGGCCGCGACTTTCGCGCGCAGAAAAATCCTTGCGGCTCGCGGATCCTCTCGCGACTGCAGTGCACGGCTTCACGTTTTAGGCTCGTTTGAGCTCGTCCGAACTCAAAATTGAGTTCTGTTTTTTTTTTACATGTAGCCAACGAAGTCCTCTACGCAATTATGCTTTTAAATTCAACTTTTGCCCAGAATACAGTCCTCTAGTGTCTTCCAACCTTCAAAGGGTCGGTAGTTTGCTGAACTTTACGCTTTGGCCCCGTTCGGATTCTTCCGAACTCGAAATTGGATTCCGCTTTTTTCTATGTGTAGCTAAGGAACTGATGTAGGGAAGCGTATAAGTGAGAAGATATCAATGAGATCGCAATCTCAAAAACATCTAAATACGAATCAATTCATCTTTTATTCATTCAATAATTCACCCCCAATAACAAAAGACGAGAGATCTTTAAATAAGACACCTAAACCTAAAACCTATCTTGTCCACCAAGCTACTAAATAATAATAATAATAATAATAATAATAATAATAATAATAATAATAATAATGTTTAAATATCCGCATCATCCTCCCCCGGTTCGGAAGGCTTCGCCCTCGAAGTCGGACCAAACGTGCCGACACCGGAGTCGTACCCATGGCAATCATCGCCCGACGTTTCCTGCTATCAACCACAAAGGTAGAATGTCGGCCAACGTCCACTCTAGTCGTTCCACACAACATAGAACCCCTACTTCTAAACTAAATACCCTCAGGTAACACAAAACTAAAAAAGTCAATTGCTTCCTTTCCCCACCCGTGCACGCCATAACTCGATATCATCACATTCCAAAGCACCACATTTCTAGTTCAAGCCTCCCAAAAAAGAGACCAAGCCCCATCCAGATTCCAGAATTTTGCGTACATGTCAATCAAGGATGAGCATAAGAAAACATCTTGTCTGTGTCCTAATCTAAGTGTCCTGGCATGAATCTGTCGGCCAAGCTCGAAAAGAGAAGCATTAGCAGAAGCAACAAGAATGTTGGTGAGTGTGAAGGGGCCAAAGTTTGGAATTGCATTAAAAAGCACTACAAAAATCGCATCATTCACCAGACCTTCACCAAACACTAAACTGTAGAGCAAATCCGGATGAAGAACCTCCAAGGTGCACACAGAATCTGTAGAAGAAAAGATGGCCCCAATAGCAAGATAATCTTGAACCTTGAGATAGCCCATATCCAAAGTCTCGAATAACATTTTTGCACCAAATGATATGATGCTGAAGGATATAATTGTCCCAACAGCACCAAACAACATAATTCTCTTGCAATTCTTGAAAAATTGTTTCTTTTTCACTTGGAACCCCGCATTAAAATTAATAGGTAGCAGGAGATATATAAAAAAAGAGTTCTTTATCGAATACCAAGATTCGTGAGTTCCCTCCTTTAGACGCCAAAAGTAATATTACTCTTGTACCCAAACCCATGAGATTCGTGGATGAAACAGAGCCCTCAGATTTTTGCTGCTTCACGTCATAAACTTGACCCTGCTTGCTTGGATTCTTATGTAGGTTTGCATCTGAAGCCACATAGTCCTCCTCTTCCACCAGTTCCAGAGGCTCCACAACGGAAATCCGACCACTGTTGTAAAAGCTGCCCGTGTCGCCAATAAGAAGCTCCTCGAGTCCTTCATCAAACACCGGCGGTCCGTCGTAGAATGACTCGTCTACACAAAACACCGATTCCCATCGGCCATCGCCAACAATATCAGGCCCTTGTGTGTCGCCGAATATCGCAGCCGTGTCGCCGAATATCGTAGTCGTGCGTTGCTGTTCGCGCAGCCAGCGGCCCACAAAACCATTGGGCCTATACTGGTCACGTCTGTCGCCGAAGCCACGTCGACCATCGCACTCAGTGCCCGGCGCGAAGCCGCTGCCAGTCCCTCACTGCTCGAAAAATCGGGCCGCACCTAGGTTTTCCTCGTCGACGTTGTTGTCGTCTCCTAGCCATGGTGGTCGATCTGTAAACGAGTTAGACGACCCAGTGGAGTTGCCAATGTCGTTGCCGTTCAGAGGTGGCGGGGATCGCTGTCGGGGCGCCTCGACATGGCTTCCCCCATGTCCGCCTCTGTCTCCCCCGCGAAAGCCACAGCCCACAGCCCCATCGCGGTTCGTCTGCAATTTCGAAACAATCATGTTGTTAAGCGTCAAATGCAAATCCTCAATCCTCAGCGAAAGATCGGCAAACCAATCCGTGAAACGCACGTCCAATTGTTCAAATCGGTAGTCGATCTGTTGAAACCGATCGTTGAAGGTTGCATCACATTGTTTGTTTGCGGCATCTTGTCATCCCGGCGGCATCGCGAATCGTACTGACTGCTGATACCAACTGATGTAGGGAAGCGTACGAGTGGGACGATATCAATGAGATCGCAATCTCAAAAACATCTAAATACGAATAAATTCATCTTTTATTCATTCAATAATTCACCCCCAATAACAAAAGACGAGCGATCTTTAAATAAGACACCTAAACCTAAAACCTATCTTGTCTACCAAGCTACTAACTATTAATAATAATAATAATAATAATAATAATAATAATAATAATAATAATAATAATAATAATAATAGTAATAATAATAATAACGTTGTTTAAATATCCGCATCAGGAACCCATCTATCCAACCATGATTTCCCGACCCGTTTTCGAGCTAAATCGATTCCTCACGGGGCTTCCGACCTGCAGACTAAGAACAAGAAGAAAAACGACAAAATACAAGAAAAACACATACAAAGCAAAAATAGAACAAAACACTCAATAAACTATAAAATGAACTAAAAACTAACAAAATGACCTAAAACGGGGGAAAAAGAACGACAAAATAGTAAAGAAAAACGTAACAAAAATGGTCACAACAACTCCCCCACACTTAAACCTTTGTTCGTCCCGAACAAAGAGAAAACAAAACAAAACACGAACATGAGTACGGTTTCAAATAAGACATGCCTCAAAATGTTTAACTCAATCGGGTCGAATTCCAACGACCGTTCGACCATATGCCTCAAATATTGACTTGGCATTAAAATGACAAACTCTCAACACATAGATCATTATATATGCCTCACTCATTTTCTTATATGAATATGTGATGGGTTCGTTCAAAATTGGTCGATATTCACGTTTCAACATATGCTTGCCAATCGTCTAAATTACTCGGAATCAATGAAAGCTCAAAATTTTTGAATCAAGAGGACTTCTCGGGTTGTAATGTGGGATGTAGGTAAAGGTAAGAATATATATATGGACAAGAAGCTCAAATAAACAATCAAAGTTCTCGAGTAATAAAATACTCGAATGTCCGCCACTCGACCTAAGTCAACAAGATAGCATACATACCGTCCACCAATGTCTCCACAAACAACACATAAATGCTCCAATCGAATTGCAATATTGCTTGACTTATTACACATTTTTTTTTTATTTATAGAGTTACTATTTCCGAACAAGCTCGAATCGTAAGGACAATTTTCCTTAGGTTTAGACATTGGAGGTCATCCAAGTGTCCTAAGGTAGTTTTCCAATACTCATTACTCATTAAAATGAATAACAAGTAAGCGGAGTAGAATCCAATTGATTCGTCTTGCGAGCTCTTATGTATTATATTTTTGTATTTTGGTCAAGCATAAAATGCAATTCGATTTTCACCTCATTCAACAATGACTCCGTCTTTACCAATCATCACGCATATCAATCGACAAAATTCATTATATGTACGGGTGACAAGAAAGGGCTCAAGGCTCGAATGGGTTACTAGGGAATATAATTTTAGGGCCAAAGAACAAGGCAAAATGAGCTAACAAACAAAACGCCTCAATCATTTTCGAAATTTCAAACTCTAATCGATTTCTTCCAGACAAACTCAAGGCAAGTTCTAATATCAAGAATACGACCAATACCTCTCAAGAAAGAAGAATAAGGATCAAGACCTCACAAGGTAAATAAATGTCATTTAAAGCAATCAAGTAAATATTGAGGTAATGGTAAATACGTCCATCATCACAACTTCCCAATTTCATCAAACAATCATTAACATATCATATAATTCACCAATACCACATGCTTGACAACACAACAACCTAGATACTAGACCGGTCTACCACATAAGCATGTCAAATCCAAGTAGACTCCCTCACACTTAAAATAAAACAATGTCCTCATTGCTTCCACACATTACCAGGAAGTTCAAATATCGAGAATTAGCAATTTCACATGATGAACCAATTTAGCATGGACACAATAACACAAAACTCAAATAAAACGAAAACAAAAAGAGAAAAGGGTGTGCAAACCGAAAATGCGTCGATGAGGATAGGGTGTTCACGTGCAATTCTTTCACCCATGATCAATTCGGGACTACAGTCGTTTTCGCGTAGCTAAATCTTCATACTACAAGCTCGTCCCTGGCAAGAAAATCACAACACTCCAAAACTCCTATTATTCAAAAATAAAAATAAACTAAAAAGCATAAACAAAACACACAAGAAAACAGTAAATCACTTGGGTTGCCTCCCAAGAAGAGCTTGCTTAACGTCATTAGCTTGACGAAATCTGTACAAATCAACCAGGATCCAAAAAGAAGTGACGATCATGCCACTCCTTCGTGTTTTCGAGAAGTGGTAGCATGGGAAGATTGGCGAGAAGGCTGGCACGGTGGATCCGGGTGGCTGTGTTCTTGGTGAACCGGGTTCGGGTACGAGCAATCCCCAATTCTAGACGCAAAGTTTTTCCCACCCGAGCTCTGTCATCAACCTCCGGAACTATAAGCACATCTGTGGAGCAAGTCGAACTGAATCCTCCCCACTTCGTAACACAGTGCAACGGTCTCGAATACGGATGCTCCAACATGGAGGTAGGAGGAGTGACTTGAGAATCAAGCCCATGGATCTCCTCCTTTGAGATATCATCAACATCTCGCTGGAGCTCATCGTCTTCTTCTTCGGCCTCACACATTTGCTTCATCATACGGGCTTGAGTATCAAGCATAAAGTGGGGGTCGTCGACTTGGACCTCGATTGAGTCGATATGTGCCGTAAAAATTTCTATTTGTGCTCTCAGTCGAGCACATCCGAGCTCAATCTACACATCTCGAGTGGTCTGGGCAGGTATGCGAGCAAGGATGAGGTCGAGCTTTTCATCGTATGTCAAAGCAGCCTCTCGAGGTTCATCCTTATGTGTAGATTTGCCTTGAGCAGTGGGCTCGGGAGAGACATTGGTAACTCGATCCTCCAAGACTTGCACGCGCTCCACTAGGTTCTCGATTCTGGACTCAATATTGCTCCTTCGGGCCGCTTGGAAGGCTAAAAGTGCGAGGACCTGGTCGAGCTTTGCATTGTATTCAGTCTCAAGAATCGTGGTATGGAGGTGACTGGTTCAGAAGGGCACACTGGGTTGCGGTCTCTTCTTCCTGAGCTAACTGGGATGATGCAAAAGCATAGATACGGTCGAACTTCTCGTTAAACTCGTGGGACTCGTAATATTGCTCGACCGGGAAGGGGTCCAAGCGTTGCTCGGAAGAGTATGGATAAGGTTGGACGTGATACCTAGTGTGATAGCTTGGCTCGTTCACCCAAGATTGGGTGTGCGGATATGGGAAAGCACGGTTGAAGTTCATAATACCTGCACACCAAAACAGAACAACCACACGTAGCCACGAAATATATATATAATATTTTTATTTTATTTTATTTTAGTTACGATTTTTCAATAATATACCAAAAACAAGAGAAATGGAAAATAAGAAAATCGAGAGAAAACACTGAAATTAAGCAAATATCACAAAAGTAAGAGAAACACGGAAAATAGCATCAATACCAAAACCAAATATCCTACTTGCCTTCCCCGGCAACGACGCCAAATTTGTTGTAGCAAATTATTTTTATTTTACCGATCACCAAATCGAATGATTCGTTTCCCGGGTCGATCTCTCGAGGAAGGCGGTTCGGAATTTAGTATTGATATCGATAACACATAAAAGCAAAATAAATCCTACACATTCTAACCTTGATAGGGTTGGAAAATTATCAACTAAGAAATAACATAAGACGATAATCTACCTAAGAATATAAACGATAAAAAGATAGACGAGCTAGGGTATTGGAAATAATTGTTTCCGGTTCTACACACATTTAACGGCAATTAATAACTCAATTAAGTGGTTCGACTAACTAACTCATTTAGCAGTTTAACCTCACTAACTCTCGTAATATGAGGATAAACATAAAAGAGCAAATTAACGAAACAATTAACACATAGACAATACGTCTCCGAACATGTCTACTCTATCCAAATTCCACCAATTTCTCCCCTCTCGGTTTTGAAATCAATTATCTCTATGACTCCTCCCCTTTCGGTTCTAAAAGTCGCAATTCATAGAATTAACAAACTCTAACTCAACAAATCAATATTCCATCACAAATCGAAGTGTCACTCTTCGTTATATCAACAAATTAACCTAAGTACTCTTAGGTTATAAAAATTTATCAAGTATGATTTTATCAATTCACAATTAAAACAACTCGTCAAGATTGAGATATCGTCATGCACATAAACGAGAACAAACTGAAATGATTATCCCTTAACCCTAGCTAATAAATTAGTTGCTCATAACAATTTCAACATAAACATTCACATGAAAATAAGTCATTCTCAACATAAACAAAATGAAAGAGATAACTTACTATTAATGTGAAATCCACAAGCCAAGAGCAAATACAAACATAATCCACAATACAACAATGTCTTCAATAAGTTCTCCAAGAAAAACAAAATAAAAACTTAAGAAAAACCTAGGAAAGAAAATGAAGGAAAGATGGTGAAGAAGTAGAGAAGGAAAAGAGGGGGGAGAACCCCCCTTGGTTCAAAGATGGTGATGATTCATGATAGAAGATGATGGATGATGTCCTTACAGTCTTCAACCCCATTTTTCAGGTGTGAGTGCTACAAAACTGCCTCAAAACCGACCATTTCCTCCACTAGTGAGTAAAATGTGGAAAAGCCACAAACTCGGATCCTCGCGGCTTTCGCGCGCAAAAAAATCCTCGCAGCTCGCGGATCCTCTCGCGACTGCAGTGCACAGCTTCACGTTTTAGGCTCTTTTGAGCTCGTCCAAACTCGGAATTGAGTTCCGTCTTTTTCTACATATAGCCAACAAAGTCCTCTAAGCAATTATGCTTTTAAATTCAACTTTTGCCCAAAATTCAATTCTCTAGGGTCTTCCAACCTTCAAAGGGTCGGTAGTTTGCTGGACTTTACGTTTTGGCCCCGCTCGGATTCTTCTGAACTCGAAATTGGATTCCGCTTTTTCTTATGTGTAGCTAAGGAACCCATCTATCCAACCATGATTTCTCGACCCGTTTTCGAGCTAAATTGATTCCTCACGGGGCTTCCGACCTGCACACTAAAAACAAGAAGAAAAACGTAGAAAAACGACAAAATACACGGAAAATACATAAAAAGCTAAAATAGAACAAAACACACAATAAACTATAAAATGAACTAAAAACTAACAAAATGACCTAAAACGGTGAAAAATGAACGACAAAATAGTACAAGAAAACGTAACAAAAATGGTCACAACACATCTGTTCAAGAAATAATGAATAGTGATTATTAAATTATATCAGTTTCTATTCAGGCATATTTAATTTATCACTGAAGATCAAGAATGTGTTGATAAGCGTATAGTTTATTTATTTAACTTATATGCTTCGATTCAAATAAATTTAATTTTGTAGAATGAGTTAAGTTAAAAGGTTATCTCATAAACTTGGTCATGTAATTTTTCAACAAAGTCAATTATATATCTTTTTTTTTTAAAAAAAAATCAGCTATAAATTCAAAATTAATTTATGAGCTATTAATTTTAAACCAGATTTACCAAAATACATATACTTATATATATATTATATAAATTCANCTAGACATCCTCGTCTGCAATTATATATGCCAAGGTTACTTTACTGACATTTCCAGGAATCGATGCTGAATAACTTGAATTCATATTCGGTCAACTTTGTATCAC